GGTCTTACACCTAGTGTGTATATATATATATATATATATATATATATATATATATATATATATATATATATTAGAAAAAGAATAAAATCGAGTAAAATGCAAATTAAAAAATAAAAAAACTTAAACATTAACACAAAGTTTCACGTAATCACATGATTCACATTAGGCATCATAATTTTTTCAAAAAACCATACCCAGACTTATGGAAAAGTACATTGTCAATATGTTAATATTTTCTCACCCAATTCAAGAAGTAGGATAAAATTTGCTAATGTTTTTATAATCATTTCATGGAAATAAAGATCCATTGCTTCAACGTTTTCTTGAATGGAAATATCTTTGGATCTGAATTGAAAACATAACCAAATCTTATATTATCAAATCTTAATCCGATTTAGTTCGGTTTCAAACTTTAATAATTCATTTTTCTTCTTTGATTACGTCAACTAGAAAATTAATTCGATTGCAACCCAAATCTACTCAAAAAACCATATTCAAATTCCAAAATTATGTTTTCATTTAAACTGGTTTTTATTTAATCAATCTATAATTATAAATTATTAAGAAAAATCAAATATCCTCCTATCTTTTGTTTCAATTCATCTTCTTATTCAATAGATTAAACAAGTGTCGAAATCAAAAGACGAGATTAAGAAAAAAAAACTAATGGATTCCAATGTCATTATTTTATGTAAGGCTGGATGGATTGATATTACTTTTGTCGCACACTTTTTGCTTGTCACGTAGGCATCACGTTACTTTTTTTCTCACTACTTACTTTTTCGCCAGTTAGGGGATGGTTTGTCATGTTACATTTGTTTTTTATTTTGATTAGTATCTAAAACAATATAATTTATATGAAATTAAAATTTTCATTAAACTAAATGACAAGTACATGATAGAAAACAAGACATTTGAAATTAAATAAAAATAAGACATTTGAAATTAAAATATATGAGATATAAAACATAAAATAAGACTATTTCATATATTGACACCATTTTGCTCACTGCCTAACAACTTGCTAGAACTCTTGATACCATAATGGTTTGTTATTTTCTTTGCCGGAAATTTCAAAAGCATTGTTTAACATCATTCCATCATTTTCATCATTCCATCATTTTCATCATTTGGCCATTCACGTTTCACTCTATTAAACAAACTATCAAACAGTACTACTACTTTGTTAGTATGCTTCCATGCGGTGTAGATTTGATCTATGCTTCGATAGTGACCTTAACCCATTACGTTGTGGAATTGTTAGTCGATTATTTTCCAAAAATAAGACCGACTTACGTAGCCTTTGACCATCTGGTCCTCCTATACATTGGCAGGTCAAAGCTACATCTTTTGTCATGTCTAAGGATGAATTATTTTGAGAGAGTTTTATAAGTGTTGAATTTTTTAAATTGGTCAATATTGAAGGCTTGAGAGTGGTTAAAAATGAAGAAGGTTGTTTTGTATTAATTTTGGTTGAAAATGTTTAAAATTTAAATTTTCAACGAAAAAAATGGTTACTTTTTGAAAAGTGGTGTATTTTTTTAAATGGTAAAAAAGGAAAATCTCCAAAAAAAATCCCAATATTTTAGGAAAATTTACATTTTAGTCCCATTTTTTTAACAAAAAACACAGGATACCGTGTAAACTGAACATGTTGGCCCTTTTTTCATCCGGTCAACCTTATTTGACCGATTGTCTTTGCTGATGTGGCCAGGAATTGATGAGTCAATAGATGAGGGTGTTAAGGTTGTATTTAAAGAGCATTTGGTCTTCATTCTTGCCCTAAAATCACAACAAGAGCTTCATCATCAATGGTGTCTTCATCATCTATATCAAGCCAAAGAGCAAATTGTTTGAGAAGCATTTTCTATTATGGTGATCATGTAGGAAGATGGATATCTTGGACTCCCTTAAACCCGGGAAGAAGGTTCACCGGCTGTCCGAATTTCAAGGATAAACTCAAAGACTATAATTATTTTCATTGGGTCGATCCTCCTCTACCTTGCCTGTCACATCCATTTTTCCAGGTTTCTTTTTATGACTTAATCATTTCATAACTTTGGATTTTGCAGGGCCATGACGTTGCATAGGGTGGGCCACAACGTGGCATTCGTTGATGAGGAACGCACATCTGCACAACACCACAACGTGGTGACTGTTTTGGGCCAAAACCCTAATTTCGGGAATGATGCCTTATGTAAGGGCACTAACTCCAAGGGTTTCTCATTTTGGAAGCCTCCACCCTCTAAGGTCCTATCCCATCCAAACCCTAGCCTTATTTTAGCAGCATCCACCCTCTGAGGTCCTATCTCGTCACATTCCTGGTCTTTTGGAGGTATAAAGTCTTCACCTTGCTCATTATATATCTAGATCTAGTGCTAGGTCACTTTATGAGATTTTTTGTCCATATCCTCTTGTTCTTGGAGTTTCAGTGAGCTCCAGAACCTTTGAGTGCATTATTTGGTTTTTGGACCATGGTGGTGGTTAGAAACAGGGCTTATATGACTTAGTTGGATGCCCATGCTTTTGGTGAAAGCATTAAGAGCTTAAGAGTTGAGATCTTGGCTTATTAAGATGCCTTAATGGATAAAGTTGGAAACTTTATCCATCTAGACCTTAGGAAGGTTGAGATCTGAGATTTGGGGTTCATGGGGTTAAGGATTAAGAGCTTAATACATTAAGATGGGAAAGCTTAGTTCCCACGATGTGGCGGTCTGGTTGCCACGAAGTGGTTACTCGTGTCACCATGACTATTTTATCGTGTAGTTGCCACGACGTGGCTATGGGTGGCCACAACATGGAGGATAGCTGGGGGTTGACTTTGACTGTTTGCTTTGACCATGGTTGACTTTTGGTCAATTTAAGGGTTTGAGGGTGTAGACTGAGTGGGTACTTCCTTATTGTTGTTAGGTGTCTCGTAGTACCGGTCTGCACTAAATAGGAGCTGATGTATTTAACTATTATCTGCAAGGTAAGTTTTCTCACCATATTTACCTTTGTGTTAGTGTATACATGGTGACCAACTAGGTCTTATTTGTTGATTGTTGTTATGTGTATTACTGAGTTGCTGATAACTCCTGGACTGCTATGAGTCCCCATGGTGTTGATAACTCATGAGGTGTTCTGTTAATCCACAAGGCGTGTTGTTAGCCTACTGGGAATGCTAGTAATCCCCATGGTTTCTGATAACCCATAATTGTTTATATTGTGTGATGTATGTGATATTCAGACTGTTGATGGTCCCAAGGATGCTGATAACCCATAACCGATTATTATGACGTGTTGTATATGATATTTTGGGGAACTCACTAAGCTTTGTGTGCTTACAGTTGTTGATTAAAATTTTGCAGGCATTGATCAGATTATGAAGGCAAGACTGTACTCACATATCAAATGTTTTATGACGAGCTTACATTTATCGATTATTGTTTCAGGTACTTCTGACGATCGCAGGAATGCGAAGGCGTGATCGTACCGCTCCTCACACTTTATGATTTTATGTTTTGATATTGGGATACTCTGACAATATACTATTTTGAAAACAAGTTTTGTAATAATCATGAGTTTTGAAATGTTTTCAAAAAAAAGTTTAAATTTGGCATGATTTTTTTATGGATGTTACAAATTTTTGAATAATGGTTTATGAACAAATGGTTTGATCTGAATGTAACCTTATGAAAAATGTGTGTTTATTCTCTTTTAAAAAAGAAAAAATCATTCCGGCATCTTTGGGACGTTACATTGCTAGTGGTATTCAAACCTCTTAGAAGAATTTCACCACAATGTTCATTTGGAGAACCCTGAAATATTTAGAGACTTTATGGAACAACAACCAGTAGGGAACCACGGGCTATTTGGAGACTTGGTGGAACAACAACATCCACAACAATAAGTGGAAGAAGTGTCCATTCAACATGGAAATCAAGGTGGAAGATCGAAATCACTGTTTTATGACTTTGTGGTTATTTTTATTGGTTATGTTGAAATATTGATAGAAACAAAATGGAAGGTGGTTGTAATATGTTTTGGTTATGACTAAGGATTTTAAGGGTAGTATGATGTATGAATCATATGTGATCACGGTGTATTTCTAATGTCTCATCATATTATGAAAAAAAAAGTAAAAAGTTTATGTATTTGAAGTTGAAGTGTTTCCACTATTATCATGAACGAAATCAATAGAACGGAAAAAAACCATCATTGGAATCAATAATGAAAGAAAACCCTATTACCGGAATCAATAAAGAATGGTATCAACAATAACGAGAATCATTAAACATTTGAATCAACAATAATTGGGATCATTAAACATTGGAATCAACAATGACTGTAATCATTAAACATTGGAATCAACCATGACTGGAATCATTAAACATTGTAATCATGTAACATTGGAATCAACCGTGACTGGAATCATATATGCAATCATCAGTGTAATCATCCATTACTGGAATCATTAAACATTGTAATCATGTAACATTCTAATCATCTATTATTTATGGAAAAATTGAATCAACAGTGGAATCATCCATTACAATGACTAATATTACCTATGGAATCATCTATTAACATGACTAATATTACCAATGGAATCATCCAAAATCAAGCAAAATCATCCAAGAAATTTACCATGACTAATATAAGCATAATTAACCATTACCATGACTAATATAAGCATAATTAACCAAAATCAAGCAAAATCAACCAAGAAATTTACCAACAGAATCATCCATTACCATGACTAAATTTAACCAAAATATGATCAACATCTAATAATATTAACTAAATTGTATGCAGCTTATGCCCTAAGCCAAAGTTTGTACAAAATGGGCTATACACAAAAGTGGCTAACAACATTTACCCTTGGTTAAAGATTCTACATGCTTAACAAAAGAATGGTTTAACAATACCCTAATCTAGATTGACTGGCTTCTGTGCAGTCATCCCCATCCCATCCTTGGTAACCACACACTTCTTTAACTGCAATTCTGTTATCCTATTTGAAGGCCTCCTATTTCTCATACTTCTCTCATATTGTATCTCATATATGACCTCATCATTTGTGCCCTCATCATCTATAGATGCTTGAGTTTTAGGGACTACTTCTTTTTGGTTATCAACACCAACATCCTCAAGTGTCACTTCTTGCGTATCAACACTAACATTCTAAAGTGTAACTTCTTGGGTATCAACACCAACATCCTATATTAATAACAACATATATATATATATATATATATATATATATATATATATATATATATATATATATATTAAATCTCAAGATATAAAATATGTTACTTATAAGATAGAAAGCCATACCTGGGACACATCAATCTCCACAACTACTTTTCTCACCCCTTTATATGCACTCAACTCGTCTGCAGTTAAACCAAGTTAATCCATGATATCTTCAGAACTATACTTTGAGGCTCTCAGGTTCAAGATGTCACTCTTTATTTGAGAGACTTTATTATCCACACTTGGATGACGTATTTCATGATCCATCAATCTTTCATTCTTATTAGCCTGAGATTCTGCATACTCCACGTTTGCATGAGGTATTTCATTCTCCATATTTGCATGAGGGACTTTATTGTCAACTACCTCTTCAACCACCTTTTCTGCTTTAGGGACTCCATCTCCCCTACCACCTTTTCTGCCATCACCTCTAGACCCTCTTTTAGTTCCTGGCCAATTCAGTAAATCATGGTCCAACCTAGGCCTACCCATCATATTTCTAGGTTGATGTTCATGCACTACTTTAGAATTATTGTATGATTTTGTTTATTGTGTCACCGTTGTAGCCACTTTTTATATTGGGCTGTTCTACCCTTGCGTGAAACTTGAGAGTACTTGTCCTTATTTTTAGATAGCAGTTTGACCATGACATTTGGCAATGAAATTTACTTTGTATTTTAACATGCATCTCCTTTCATTTTAAGTTAGGTTTCCCATATCAGCTCCTTCACAAATTGCCTTGCTAACCAGGTAGGATTCATAAGCTTTAGATTGGTTAAAATTCCTAACACATGTATGTAGGTCTACAATCTTATTTTACTTGGAATGACCTTTTATTACTCATCCAAGAAGCTCGGACCATGAGTGGGCACCTCTCTGGATCACTACCACATATTTCCACTAGTCTAACACTATCACACATCTTGAAACGGATTTGATAACCCTTACTAATAGCATAGTTAGTTAAGCATAATTTCAGCTCATGTGCAGATTCATACCATTCACAGAGCACTGATTTCATTTAAGTTCCATTTCACCTTTGGGTTGTGGGTGGAATACTCGAAATCATCATCAATATCTTCTTCATCACTACCTTGAACATACTCTGAGTCCGATTCTTGTTTATTGTTTTGAGGTTGAGCACCATTATTTGCATCATCATCTTCTTCACAGAGAATGTTCAGAAATTCATCTTTGCATCGGAAAATTGGTTTCCTTTTAAAATACTCATCAAGCTCCACATCTATCGTATCCAAATCATATACGTCGTCCATTTTCCCCCTTCAAGATAGGTAAAAACCCTATATTACTGATATGGGTGAAAACCATATATTACTGAGATGGGTGTAGGGGTGAGCAAAAATCGAACCAACAAAAATAAAACCGATAAAACCGCAACAAACCGCAACCGAAAAACCGAAATCGATGCAAAAACCAAGGGTGCAGATTTTATTTTTCTCAAAGACCGAAACTATTGGTGCAATGCAGTTTTTATTTAGAATCTGGTTAATAAACTCTAATATATATTATATGTTGAATTTGATGATAGTTAGGTTTAGCATTAATGAAATTGAGGATATGTTCAATTTGATGATAATTAGGTTCAAATATGTGAGGTTGAGTTTCTGACTTTGTGTAATCACTACATAGGCTGCATGTTAATAAATGCAAATTGAACAGAAATGAGTTTGAACTTTGGGTTGCAAATGAAATAATGAACCTCAAAATCATGGTTTCAAAAAATGAGGAGACATGTACCATGCTGTCATACATCCCCACATGATCATCATTGTTAAATATAAAACTACGCCATATGTTTGAATCGGTTTAAAACCGACACCGAACCGACACAAACTGAAACCGCACTCGAAAACCGCAAAACCGAGCCATTGAAAAACCGCACCCAATGGTTTCTAGAATGGAAAAACCGCACCTTGCGGTTTGCGGTTCGGTTTGGCCCTAAAATCGCACCAAACCGCACCATGTTTACCCCTAGATGGGTGAAAATAGAGAAAGGAGAGAAAGAAATGTTGGGGTTTTCTTTTGTAAATAAGGGTGAGTTTGACCGTATTCCACATAAGCCACTTAAGGCCACATCAACAAAGGCAACAGGTCAAATGAGGGTGACTGGATGATAAAGGCCAGCATGTTCAGTTTACCCGGTATCCTAGGTTTTTTTTGTTAAATTATTTAGGGACTAAAACGTACATTTTCTCAAAGTTTTAGAACTTTTCTGAAGATTTCCCTAAAAAACATACGCTTCTCTCTCTTATGAAGGTTACCGAGTTCACCCATAGAATTTGGCATGCCACAAACTGAGGAGATGTTTACCGAGCCACCTCAGCTCTTGCCGACTACCGAGGCATTGCCGAGCCCCAGGGGCGGAACACGAAAATTACAATTAGGGGGGCCGAAACTACTATTTCAAAACAAAGCCATATAAACTTGTTTAATTCAGTAAAAAGTTTTACTATATAAAAAATAATAATAATAATGTTCGAGCCCACTGCATAGTGAAAGTCTCTCTTAATTTCGCATTAGCTTTCAATGAAACTTCCATCTATGTAAGAAAAGTCTGAACCTCCCTTACTTTGTGGGCGCACTGACCATGAAAGTGTTCAGTAGGAAAAGACTGGAAGAAATGGGATTCGAACCCATGCATGATGCAATCTTCTTGTATGTCGATTTAGCAAATCAATGCCTTAAGCCCTTGTGCTATCCCCCATGATCAGATCAGATAGCCCTTTGGACAACCAACCCATTTCGCTCTATCATTTATTCTTTCTTTCCTAGCCTATTCAAAGGCCAAATCAGGATAGAAGTTCCAACTAGTAATCATCTCATTCATCTTTCGTGAAAGTGTTACTTATTTATAGTTTGCTCATTTTGAAAATGATATCTTTATTGTAGCATTTAGAAACCGTAGAAACTGGAAGAATAAGTATAAAGCTAACTATTTCAACAAATTCTATTTATACATGGAAACATTTGTTAGTATTAATGAAATTAATTCACTTTTTGATTGGATTAAACTATATTATATTAATAATTTATAAAGTATTAAGAATAAAATTAAAGTTTAAATATTTAAATAATCCAATCAAATAATATAAAGAAATAACAAGGTAATTCATTTGATTGCCCATTTATATATTATCACTAAATTCACAAAAATAATCTTAATTTATGTCATCTTTTACAACTTAATTTATCATTGATAAAATACTTTGAAAAGGTAATCACAAGGCCCAAGGTATGTAAGGGGTATATAGGTTATGTTTTCTATTATATTTTTATTTAGAATTTCAAAATTCACTGGGTTACTTTAATAACTTTATACAGGCTATATATTTAGTATGAAAGAAGATATTTAATTTCTCAATTATTAAACACCCCTACTAAAATAAACGGCATTAAATTGGTTATCAACTTATCTATCTAACACGTGGGCTATATAGGTGGTAAACAGAGTATAATCAATGGTGAAAACCGAAAACACAAACTACATTCCCCCAGTCGGTTCTGAAGACTAATCACACCCCAAAACCAGTAATCGTTACACTTCCATTCTTTCTTTCAGATCTCCACCTCACACATTCTTACTCACAATCTCTATCTCTTATGGAAATCTCCGCCACTCGCTACCTATAAAAACCCACTCTTCATTTTTCTTTTCATCCAACCCTCCATTAATTCCGGCTACTTTTATGTCCACAATGAACGGCGACAACCTTCACCACCGTTCTGTACCACAAACAACCACCCTCCTGAAAACCCCCAACAACATTTCCATTAATAAGATTAATCTCAAGAAGACCCCCAATTACGTGTCCTCTAATGGTAAGATGTCTGATCAGTGGCACACTCAGTGGTGGTCGTTGGCTGATGCTTCGTTTTTGCGGTGGACGGCGGCTGATATAATCGGCGTGTTCAAGTACCACCCTGTCCCGTGCTTTTTCGCGGTTACGTTGTTGTTTTTCATGGGTGTGGAGTATACGCTCCGGATGATACCGCCGTCGTCACCGCCGTTTGATATTGGCTTCGTCGCCACCGTCTATCTCCACCGTGTCCTCGCCTCTAGTCCTACTCTCAACACCGTTCTCGCTGGGCTTAATACGGTAATCAACCGATTTCGCATTTTCAAATCCGACTGAAAAATACGAGAGATCTGTGATTATGTTTATCAATTATCAATGCATGTTTTGGGATTTTAATTTTTGGGTTAAATTTCAATTTTGAAGGTGTTTGTGGGGATGCAAACGACGTATATAATAGGGACGTGGGTAATTGAAGGCCGGCCGAGAGCAACCGTTGCGGCGCTGTTCATGTTTACGTGCAGAGGGATTTTGGGTTATTCTACACAGCTTCCGTTACCTGAGGTACGACGTCGTTCTGTTAATCACCATAGAAATGATACTTTCACCTTGCACCTTACATTCTCGATAACGATTGTTTTGTTGATGGTTGGTTATCATTATTTGGAAATATACATTCATTTTGAATAAATCAGATACAATAAAACAAAATCTCAAATTACTTTTTATTGTTTTATAAATTACTTTTACAATTATCATAATTTATCAAAGCAATTACTAACAGCAAAATCCTCCTCAGATAATATCTTTTTATATAATGATTATTTATTATTATTATTATTTATTTCGAAATAATCCAAAGAAAAACGATGGAAAGTTGGGTTTGATTTTCGAATAAATTGTTAAAAATTTTATTCTTTTGTTTTTCAATAGGTAGAATAAATATAGTCAGGGTAATTAAGTCATTCATATTCTATGATTATATTGTTTGTAACATTGGAAATGTGACATTGCTACGTGTTCAGTAGAAGAGAAAAAATCAAAAACCCATAAACAGGTGTTTCATTTTTCGTGGGAGTTGTTGACAAATAGGGAAAGTTTCTTTATAGGGTAACAATAAATAGGAATATCGTTTTGTGGGACTATCCAATTTAAGTGTATATAAGATTTACAGTGATTGATTTATATCCACATATTTTATTGGTGAAAGTCTTAAAAGATAAAAAGATATTTATTTTTTAATATTTATAAAAATGAACAATTCAAAAGGCAAACACGTCTCTAGCTACTTTCATTATTATCATATATCACATGTGAAAAGGTTTTGTCCTAAACAAACAAATCTGCTTTTTACCAACCAAACCTTAGAATATCGTACAAAGCTTGTTTATTATAACACTAACCAAAAGTTAAAAAAAAATACTTATCATGAAAGAATTGAATTGACGATAGATTGTAAAAATCCTATACAATGCATTACTAAATACATTTTTTGTATTCTTTTAGGGATTCTTGGGTTCGGGAGCAGATTTTCCAGTTGGAAACGTTTCATTTTTCTTGTTCTATTCTGGTCACGTGGCAGGATCAGTAATTGCATCACTTGATATGAGGAGAATGCAAAGATGGGAATTGGCGATTTTATTTGACACATTGAACATACTACAAGTGATGAGGTTGTTGAGCACGAGAGGTCACTACACCATTGACTTAGCCATAGGTGTAGGTGCGGGCATGTTGTTCGATTCCCTTGCAGGAAAATATATGAAGAATGCAAGCTCGAATGTAGCAGAGGAAGATGGGTTATGTAGAAACCGGCCTCTTTTATCTTGATGTTTTTAGAGTTGGTTAAAGTTTAAATGTTGATATTTGTATACTTTAATTTTCAGATTTTTTAGTTTGTTTTGATACCTAATAGTTTTCATCGTGCATCAATCATTATATACTATTCACAATGGCAACTTCAACTTGTTTACTTATTGATAGGTTGAGTTAGGTTGTTAATTTTACCTTAAAGAGTCGATAAAATCATTATTCATAGGTTGAGTTAAGTTGTTAATTTTACTTTAAAGAGTCGATAAAATCAACAAATATAGCTGATAAAAAACCAGATCAAACGAGTTATAAGTCGTTGGTAGGTAATTTTTCATGCAAATGACCTTAAAACTCCCTTTACTTAGGTGATAAGATAATTACGATACCAAAATGTCTAACAAAGAGTTACTAACAAGGAGGTCCTGAGTTCTATCTTCGACATATACTAACCCGCCGTTCTAATAAAAAAAGAAAAAATAAATAAATAATTATGATATTAATATGGTTTTATTCATTATATTCAACTCATTGAAATATGTTTTTTGAAAAGTTGTATAAAGAGAAAAATTGTTTTATAAATGATCTTTTATTTTAACTAGTAGAAAAGCCCGTGCTTCTATTAGAGGATTGTTTTTGTTTTTGTTTTT